ACCCCACATTTGAGGGGCCTAGGGGTCGACCTCTGTCCCCTGACCAACACCGACTGTGACCTGTCAGAGAGGTAAGAGGAGAACCACCGTAAAACGGTGCCTCTCACTCCCACCTACTCCAGACATTGCAGAAGGATACCATGGTCGATGGTATCGAAAGCCGCTGAGAGGTCAAGAAGCACCAGGATAGAGGAATGCCCTCTATCCCTAGCCCGCCAGAGATCATCGGTCAGTGCGACCAAAGTGATTTCTGTGCTATACCCAGGCCTGAAACCAGACTGAAAGGAAGGACTACCTGTATATTCCCTGCATTTGAAAGTTACCAAGAGCACAAAGATCCTGGATGCTTTGTGCATGTAGAATGGCTGAAAAAAATCATATAATATTGAAAGGATGTATCTGCATTCTGCTTGCAACAATTTATTTTTACCATATGTCCATTGTCAGTCTCTGAAATTGGATTGGTTTTTTTTGATACAGGGAAAAGAGCAATTGTTTTTTCTATTTTCTATGTGTAAAATATTTGCATTGGTATGTGGTCTATTTAAATCATTCTTTATTTTTATTTTTGCTATTTCTTTGTATTTTAATAAAGAAATACATTCTAAAATTTGGAATTTGCAATTTTGTTTCCTTTTTCTTGCAAGTATAATAGCAAAATATATACTCATTTTCTAAAATTAAATAATAATGCTGTATTCCTTAAGCACATTTTTATGATGAACATCGCTTTTAAATAGCTTAAATATCCTTAAAATTCAATTTGCTACTGATATGGAAGTACACAATTTAGATAATAAATGTAACCAAGAAGCAATCGTAATATGTACAAAAGACAAATTATTATTAGGATGGCTATGGCAGTCTTTATATTGTAATATAAAAAGTGTATGAAGTTGTGAAAGTAGTTATCAATGTATTCAATTAGTTACTCTAATTATGTATATGTGTGAGTGAGTAAGTAAGGAAGAGACAGATGTAATCTTTTGAAACATGAATTTGAAACATTACTTCAACATCCCTAATCCATTTTTAAAAGATGGTATTACAAGAAAACAAAACTCTAATTCCCTAGCCCTCTAGCTAGATATAAACATTGTTTCAGACACAAAGTCATTATCACTACTTTTTAAAGTGAGGTTGAGGGGAGGAAAATCCAAATCAGGCTCTTAACAAGCAAGATTCAATATTCTGAAGTTTAAATATTTCATAGTTGGCTTTATGGTTTTGGTAACACTTGTATCCATTAACACTGATAGCATTGGCTGGGGGATTCTGGGTGTTGAAATCTATACTTCTTAAAGTGACTAAGGTTGGGAAACACTGCTGTAAAGGATCACCAGATGGGCGAGCAGCTTTTGGGATAATTTTACACAACACTGAATCACAAGCTAATCACTTGTTTTAGCCTAATGTGTTGTGGATATGTAACCCAGGAGATTAATGCATTGTGTTATGTGAATCCAGATCTTGGTGGTCTTACTTGAGGATGACATGGTTAAAAGAGTTCAGATTTTTT